GAAGTACACTTGGATTTATTTTCTTTAAACTGTTAGTTATTTCACTAAGCGATGTTGATTCTGAACTGGTGATAAACACTGAAAGTATGACTGATGGTAGAAAAGCATACACTCATTTCTCAGACACTCTAGAGCCTAGGGCACTGCATGATGTATGCACTCCTACTTACAGTAAAGATGCAGCCCAAATACTCATCTTAAAGTGTCAACACTATTCTCTTTGAATAAATCAAAACATAAAGCAATTACTTAAAGCAGTACTATTTAGAAGTCTAAGTTCACAAAGAGTTGTTGCTAAAGAGGGGCGAGCAGGTAACTTCACAGCATGAAAGGGCTGGAGCGGCAGTCAGTGCTGGCTGTGTACTGAGATTTACCTTCTTCCAGCAGAAGATCTCCTCAAGTGCAAATATTTTGCTTGGGTGATCTCTAGAAGAGATCACAAAATATATTTACTGTTTATTTGTTTCTTGAGAATACTCTCCCAATACGTAAAACCACTATGCAACAAATACCTCACTACTTAACTTACACTGATTTGTCCATCTAGTTTATTTCTCCAATGAGTGAGTGGCGAAACATAGTATTCTGATTTACATAAGCAGAATAAAGTTTTGATGTTAGGCATATTTGGGTTAATGTTGGTATTTAAATTAAGTAGAAGCGTAAAGTTTAAGAATTTCTGTGGTGCTTCCTATTTCAGCTGAACTAGAAAATACTATGAGAAAGGTATTAGTGAATACAAAATCTGATTCAATACTTCAGTATTCCTGGTCCATCTGAAACTAGGAATGGAAATGGTTTTTAACATTTGTTTTTTAAATAAAGAGAGTTTGAAAAAAATCAAGGTATTACTTAAAAGTTTAAAGATGGTTAGAACTGATTAACAACTAAATTCTTTGGTCCTTAAGATGCACTGATTCCTCTAATAAAAGATCTTCACACACCTTTATCAGCAGAAGATAATGGATCTTGAAAAGTGATAACAGTACATCTCATCTAGTGATTAATTCTGAACTATGTAGATCCCATGCCACTGGCAGCAGGCACTGCAGCGTGCTCTATGCATCGACATCAGCTAGAAGTTACTTCTGCAGGCCAGGGACTGGCTTGACCACACTTTGTTTAAATGTTCAGAAATATTCTTGGATCTGTAAAACTCTCATGGCTAATGAGGGCTGAATACTTAAAAACAAATAAAAAACACAGCTGAATTAGAGCTGCTGGTAATGCTTTATTGCTTAGAGCTCCCAACCGGCTAAATTGTAATTGCTTCTATGTAGAACATGCTGCCTCAGAAAACCCAAAGTAATTAAAGACAAGCCGAAAAATAATAATATAGAGAGGTGAAAAAGATCTGCAGCAGAAAAGCTAACTTCTGAAAGGGAGAACATTACACAAAACCTGTCCTGCAGGTAATACACTGAGCTAGGTCTTTGAATAAACTTGATGAGCAAAAATCAAAGCAGGACTGACAGTGGAGTAGGTAAACTTTCCCACCGTTTCTGTTAAAGAAAAACGTTCTTGCTCAAATATCTACAGGGCAGTGATTTTATACTCTTTGAAGGTAATATCTTCAAATTTTATCATCTGAATTTTTAAGCAGTTGCTCAGCAGCAGTTATTAGTAAAAGTTAACACCTCCTTCTAAGTAGCTGCTCTTTATCAGAAACAGTATTAAAAAGTCAGAGATAGGTTTTTCCTCCTAAACTGCTGTGGTTTATTTTATTATACAGTTTTTGTGTAGTTCTCTTGCCTCTTCACAAGCACAGATTTGGCCTACTTGGCCAGCAAGGCTTATTAGGATAGAACTCTTCCCAGGACCAGTACAAAACCATGAAAAAATAGAAAGTCGGCACACTTTTAAGTAATAGATATCATTTTTTGTCTGGACAGGAGATTATGTATCAAATCACAAACTCTTTAGGAGATTGCCTTCCATTAGACAATTTTTTTTTTTTTTTTTTTTTTTTTGAGAAATACACACCTGGGACAACAGGAGGAGTGACTATAAAACTGGGGGAGGAGGGTGGATGATAGAAAAAACTGGAAGAATTGTCAGGGTGCACATACAACTGTGGAGTGGTTGGTGGAGGCAAAAAATGTCTGGGGAATGTAAAAGGAGGATGCCTGAAACCGGATGCCAAATTAAATGAGAAACAAGAGGTGAATTAGTAAAATTAGGAACTGTAGAAGCATCAGGATTGAGGAGGATGGATCTAGGATGGCACATTTAATGCAAACTAAAGGTTGTGAATGGAGGTATAAAGAAAAACAGTGGAATGGACAGAATACTCTGTATCTAATCCCAAGTAATGGATTTAGATGAGTGGAAGATGATCTACAGCAGAGCGTGAGAGAGGGATGCAATGTGACAGGAATTAAAAAACATGAAAAAGACCTCTTGCAACCAAGGTTTGACAATTAATCTTTTTCCAATTACAACTGAAAGTTTGTGTATATTCAGGAAGAACTGCCTAATTCATAGAAGAAAAATAATCTGAGAGCTATCAGAAAGCATGACCTTCAAAACTTCAGAAAGTCTCTAAACCAAATTAATACAGATTGGGAAAGACTGGGGCAGGGCAGAATTTATTGTGTTCTTCTTTTGTTCTAAGACATTTCCTTGGGTAATCATTATTTGACATAACAGAAGACATGCCTAGGCTGCTTTCAGGGTAATATAATTTATGCCACTCTCACAAGAGCATAAAGAATAGACTTACAAAAAAACAATGTTTCATAAACAATTCAGGTACAGATCCTTCCTATATCTCTAGAAATCACCATAAGACAGACATAGAAATTGTCTGGAGGGTGCAAGTAAATACGAAGACATGTATCCTGCATTTAAGTTAAATATGTCAACTGTCCAAGGAAAAGTCTGTTTCTTTTTCAGATGAGATAATAGTGATAGTACAGAATAGAGCAAGATAAACTACTATTTCCGTTTTGCAAGTATTGCAGCTTGTAAAAACTAATTCCAGGCTGACTGCCAGCTTACCATAGAAAGGAATAAATTGACTCCTGAAGATGTCTACCTCTTCTGCAGCTGGTCAAAGAGCTTAGATGACCAGCTAAGACTGTCTGATTTATTTTTAGGTGGTTACATGTAGATAAGGTATGAGTTTTTGACTTATCCAATAGACTGTAAGTAATCGACATAACTCTAACAATTTTTCTTAAGGCTTTCCTTATGATATATCATATTTGTAAGACAGACAGAGTATGATACAAGTTATATACTTTGAAGCGTTCTACAACTGGAAAATCTCTGAAGAAAAATAAGATGAATAAAAAATGTTGCTCCATAAAAACTACCTGATTTCTATAGTTCTGATTATTTCAGGATGCCTTATCATACACTTTCCACGGAAGATTTCCTTTCTCTGAATTCATGTTTGTTCATAAGAAATTACCAAAGTACAAGTTCCATTAGATTAGGGAATTGATTTATATACAGTGTTGGAATATAGACCTAGGTCTTCCAGTTAATTACAGCTACCTAAAATATATAATTTGAAAGTTTCCCTTTCTATTATGCTATATTATACATTCTATTGTGCTATATTATACATGAAACTGCCTTAAGTAATTCTTAAGGTATGGTTAACAAAGCTGATTAACATAATAAGAGTAGAATAAGCACCTGTTGATGTATGTAGTCTGCAGCTCATTGAAGAACATTCCAAAATAATATTTGCTTGAGCTTATTGGTGGTATTATTCAGAGAAAATAAATAGAACTTTTGTTCATCTTGAGACTGAGAATATGCCACAAACATATAATTTCATTTTAAGCCTTAATCAGCGTGTGGTTAATTCTCCAAGGAGCTGCTCAGTCATCACAATAAAAAGCCCAAACAGTTTCTTGAACAGCATGACAACTAATTCATACACAGGCTATCCTATCCAAACAGTAAAAACTGTATAAATAGAAAGAAATGTTATTCAAGAACAGTTTTATAACATTCTTATTAGCATTTATTTAACCATAATCATTCCTAGTTGTTCCTCATGAATGAAGACCTACACAAAACGTTTTCTGTTTCATTGGTTTTCTTTCTCTCTTGGCTCTTCAAAACAAGGAATAGACAATACTCCTACCAGAATCTGTATTTGCACATATATGTATTGTTTTTTCTTCTGATACTGTATCATATGTTATATTTTGTTTGCAGAGTAAACCACTACATTTCTCCCAGAATAATCATAGCATTATAAGGCATTAGAATTTAACTCTTTTTGTTTTGTTATTTACACAGTTCAAATCACTTAGCTTGGGTAGCAGAAGGGAGATTGTAAATTCTCTAAAAGCCTGGCAGAGGGGTAAATTTGCTATACTGTTATTTTACAAAGAGATCAAAGATAAAAGAACTAACCATTTTCTTTTTTTAAATAATTGTGAACACCGTTGATACTCACAAAGCTCTTCCATCACAAACTAAAGCCTTCTTTGACTATTTTCATACAGGAAAAAACCAATACAGTAGAGTGATGGTAGATCCCTCTCAAGCGTGGTTCATAAAAACACTAACAAGCCCTCAATGACAGTAATAGTCTGAGTTGCTATAATTACTCATATGTTCAACTGCTAGTTATGTCACAAAACTGTTTTCCACAATCCATGAGCAAATATCTTTATTCAGATACTGCACTCAGCCAACAAATACATAGGAGTCCCTCTGGTAGGTATGACGGTTCCTTTCCTTCAGGGAAAAATTTGCTAGTTAAAATTTTTTGTGAGGGTCTTATAAGATAGATCTGGTCTTTATTTCCTTTACAGGTTTTTTTTTCCCTTGAAAAGTGCATACTTCTTTAAATGATTGTGCTGTGCCCATTTCTGTTCTACATTTTTTGGAATGAAGTAGAAGCATAACAGTATCATAATAATTTCAAAGAAAAACCTTCCAGACGTGATATGCATTGAAATGTGAAATGCCACAATTTTCCCCTGCCCTCTGAAAAGAAAACATGTATCGTATGTATTTCTGTAACAGCATACCTCCGTCGATGCATTCTGGTGTGAAAGAAATGTCATCAAGAGCAAATTCTGTAGGTTCACTACACCCCACTTCAGCTTCAAAAGCAACTCTGAAAGGGCTGTTACTGGAGAGGACTACATTTGCATACATCCATTTGTTTTCTTCATTTCTACTAGAAGACCACATAAGAATATCCATTCCATGTTCTTCAGCTGTGTATACCTGTTGACAATGAAACCCAGGAGATGCAACTGAATCAGCATTAAGGAACACAGGAGTACAGCTAGCTAGAGTGACAGAGCCCAAGCCCAGTAGTGCGGTTACCTGCCTCAGTACGACTGGCCCTCTTGGACATGGTTTAAACCCACATCTTATTGGTGATAACTACTTTTGCTAATGCTAGTTCAGCTGCAAATAAAAAGCTACGGTAAAAACAAAATAAAAAGAACTGCTAATACACTCATTAGTTGGAAAGCCTACAGATAGTCTCACCCTGACACACAGAAGCTAACGAGTAAAGACCTAGCCCCAAATCCATCTAAGCATTGAAGAAAATACTGAGAAGGATCTTGAGCTATCCTTTCATCTCTAAAAGATGACCTCCTTATGGTTGATAGAATGGGTGAAGATTTTAGGTATACAAATAAAAGGCTTAGCCTCTAGGGATTTAAGTCTGTTGTCTGGTACAAAAATACGATGTTTCAGGCATTCACAGTAAATTAGCTCAAGCGTATTTAGCAAAGCCATAAATAAATAAAATAATCAAATAGTGAAAGCAATAAGAATGACAATGAATTAATTCACTGTTAATCAACAACTGACGAATTAATGCCAAGCTCAGGAAATTCTGGAGATTACACAGGTAGTTGCTCTTCCCACTCAGGCATCCGAAATCTTTATACAATCTAAACCAGCTCAGAAATAACTAAAAAGAACTGGAATAATGAAAGTAAGCACATTCTAGCCACTCCAGATGATAACTATTTCTTTAAGGGACTGAATATTTTAATAATTATTTAAATGCAAAACCTGAGGCCCAAGAAAGTTGTAAACTTAAAGCCATACTATTAGTCTGTATAACTACATACCTTTGACTCTCCTAGCCAACTTGGTGGGACAAATAAGCTAAAAGCCCAAATAGCACAGTGAACCACAGAAGTTGGTGTATGGATTAAAATATCTCTGATGCCTGAACACTCTTGCACATCATTTCATTTTTTGGAGTAGAGGAGCATTAAGAAGACTGACAGACAATAATCCAAATCAGGACCTAATTTTGTCAAGCCTGATGTTCGGTTACAGGATGGCGTAACAACAATGTCTTGTTGCTGTCTTCTTAAAAGCATGCATCTTGCAGGGCTAAAAGGACACATGTTGAGAAGAAATAGCTGATTCAACCCATAAAAAAAAATGAAAACCAGCTGTATTTAATCACATTATCAGGCTCTAATGCCTTAATAAGTTGAAACCCTTAATAAGAATAACTCTACATGTGAGGTTAGGACTATGTTACACCACCGGTGGGTGTCACTGGAACCATTCACCGTATTACCAATCATGAAATACAACAATCTCACTGATCTAGAATTTTACAGCATATAACAGTGTTAGCATGGTTTTACTATTCCTGTATCATACAGTGGTATTTTCTACTTTTGGAAGTTTAATGTTGAGATAATATTGCTTTCAATATATCTCATGGTAAAATCTCACAGCTGTACAAATAGCTGTTGGAGAAGGGGGAAGAATTTGAAGACAATACTAGAGACTCTTTTAATAGGACAGTTAAAGACTGGCCCATCATTTAAAACTAGTTGGTTCTTTCCATTTCTTTTTGTTGGATTGGTAGGAGAAGTTTTTAATCGTAAAAATTTCTAAGCACCCTGCCTGCTTGAGCAGTTCTGTCTATGTACAGAGAAATTGCATCATGTCCATACTGAGCCTGGTCTTTGAGCGTGGAGTCATTCTGTGTACAAACAGATCAACCCTGCAGCTCAAGGTCAGTACAAACAATAAATCCGTCATGAAACCTGCTGTGTGTATGCTGGCCAATGGGTCTGGGGTGGCAGCAGGTCACACTGGGTATGAAATGCAACATTTTGATGACATCAGCTTCTGTTCCCATAGATGTAAGGTAATTATATATGCCTTGTCTTTCTTTGCTTTGAGATTTAACTCATATTTACCATAGAGTAAGGGTATGCAGATATGTAATTACTATGGCTTAGTTACTATGTTAATTTGAGTGGCTGTGTCCTCCATTAGGCTTGACTATAGTTTAAACCTGGTGTATGGTTTCTTGTAACAAGCACATAGGTAACCTGTGGAAACATAGCATTTAGTGTAAATCTCTAAACTGACACATCGGAAATCTCAGGTGAGGCCACAGCTCTGCTCCGTTTCTCATATACACTCCTGGGGAAATCCTTCAGTCCCACTTTCCGCCAAAGTTCTTCTGAATACTTTTACTTTACTTCTCTAAGTCTTTATCTACCTGTAACTATGTCAGCAAAGTGTCTGTGTTCTCATGTATCTTCGAAAAAGTTTAGCTGAAATTTCTGAAAGTATAATACATAATTTAAAATATATATGCTAACTCAAAAGAGGTTACAATAGAGTTCAGAAAAATGGTAAGTCCAAGGAGTCTGTTCCTTTAGCCAGCGATACAGATACTCTGTCAGAGGTTGTGCCCACAGAAAGTGAAAACACAATTATAAGATGTAATACTGTATTCTTTGCTGAGGTTACCCATGATACTGAGAGTTTGAAGCATGTTCTGCATCAGGAAGCACATTTAGCATATACAAGATTTTTGCTGGCCTGTGTAAAGACATATGGCACATGAAAGGTAGAGCAAATTCTCACGGATATGACCTTCCTAGAGCCCCGGGGAGCTACAGCTGTGTGATGCTTAGTGCCTCTAGAGACTACAACACCCCCCTACACAGCATCCTATGAATTGCGTACAAGCTAGTCTGCTAGTGGAAACAATTGAACATCTAAAAGAGGAAAAAGCTTGCAAGATGAATCCCAGTATAGGGCATGTAACGAAAAAAGATCTTGTAGTCAAGTCCCATTGAACAACTCTGTATTTATCAGTGTGTGGAGACTGCTCCAGCTAATACTGACTTAGTTGTGGGCTAAATCCCATCATTTTAATTTTAAAGTAACAAGCATGTATTGTACTAAATACTCACAGTATCTGTCTGTTCCTCATTCTGTCCCGACACCATTTCTAACTCACACACACAATTGAAATCATAAAAAACTAGGAACCAACAGAAATAGAGCTATCACTTCATTCACTGCAGAGTGAAAAGCTCAGGACTCAAGATACCCAATACACACTTCATGGCGATTTTCAGAAGAATTTAGCATGATAATCTTCGTGAAACAAATGCACGAGTGAAGCTTTTATACTTGCTTCTTGGACTTTTTCCAAGGTGCTTTTGACAGCTGGTTCATTTGTAGTCCATATGTGAACACCATTCTTTAGCAAATCACATTTTCCTGCCTTAAAATCATGACTCAGTTCTAATTCTGCACAGCATGTCCTATTTGTTAGAAACTTATGAATTCTTTTTTCAGCTTCTGTTTCGTTTGGGGGATAGAGAAAGTGCATGTACATCTGAAGGCCAGAAAATATAAACTGCAATTTTCTACTTAGTCATCAGCAGTTACGACTCATGTGGCTATCCTGTACTCTCATGCTGACTTTTCACGGTAGCCTGTTATCTTTCTGATCTTGCCTGTTGGTGTGCTGGAAGGTGCTATGTTCTGTCTGAGCAGACTAACAACCAAGAATCCAATGCAGAACTAAAGGATGCATAATAAGAGGTGTGTTCTCCCATCATTCCCAACACACAGTCTTTAATCACCAGCCAAGGAAGCAGGAAAAACTTGTGAAAGACAACCTGTATTTTCACTTTACTAGGCACCAGAGACTTGCATCAGCTGAGGAAACTTCCCACTCACTCCAGTGAATAATGGTACTGCTTTCTGCTCTACATCATCCTTGAGATCACTCTTTTGAACTCCTCACGTTCCTTGGCAGTCATCATTGCACACCTTCCTAGGACTGAAGCTACGCCAGAGGTAGACTGAAATTGTTTCTCTAAAGCCCATAAATCACGATTAGCAAATTGTATCACAATTCAGTGACATAATAGAGAAGCACTTTTAAGTTATCTACGTCTTTTCTCTTTATTCCTTTAAATATGAGTTTGAACTAATTAAAAATTCATTAATTTTCAGTAAAATTGACCTGTCCTATACCAAATTTTACTACACCTCAGTTCCATTAGTATCAATGTAATGGGTCTGCCTGAAATGGAGCCCTCACCGTGCTGTGCAGTGGTAGCTAGATAACACACCAGTGTTTTGACTACTGCTGAGCCGGGCTCACACAGCACCAAGGCTGCTTCCCCAACATTTCCCCAGTAGGCTGGGGGTGGGTAAAAACTTGGGAGGGGATATAGCCAGGACAGCTGACCCAGACCGTCCAAAGAGATATTCCATACCGCATCATGTCTGCTCAGCAATATAAGCTGGTGAAAACAGGAAGAAGGAGGGGACATTCGTTTCGCGTTTGTCGTCCAGAGCAACTGCTACGCGTACCGGAGCCCTGCTTCCCAGGAAGCGGCTGGACATCGCCTGCTGATGGGAAGTAGAGAATAAGATCTTTTGTTCTGCTTTTGCTTCTGCGTGCGGCTTTTACTTCATTAAACTGTCTTTATCTGACCCACGTGTCCGTTGTTATATTTTCTCTCCCCTGTCCAGCTGAGGGGGTGAGAGTGATAGAGTGGCTTTGGTGGGCACCTGGCATCTGGCCGGGACCAAACCACCACAATCAACAAATACCAAGGCAGAAAAACAGATATATTAGTTTTACTATCACATCAGGAATTAATTTTGGTTTTAATTCTGAATTGTATGACAAACACCTGAAGTAAATGGATAGAGGGGGAATGTTCAGGCTTAATAAAAGCTGAACATTTTCTGTCTCTCTGACAGATGACCAATAAGATCCCCATTGGAATGAAACTCGTGAAAATCACCTCCATTTCTTGCTGAAACTTTTCTCTTGCTTCATTAAATGCAACTAAATAGTTGTAAAAACTTAGATAAATGCATTTTTTGATTTACATTTGCAGCATAATGCAGTAAAAATTGTTTACACTGAGAGCTAGTCTTGCTCAAAGCATATTAATTGATGTATTAGACTAGTCATGTATCTAGTGCTGAATAACTCACCTCTCAAAGGCTGTTACTATTTACTCCTAAGGAGAGCTAATGCTTTTGTACTTAATCATTATGAAACAACTTTTTTCTCCTGTTGGCTGATGTTCAGATCTCTTTTAAATAGCATCCATTCTATGTTAATGCATGAATTGCAGTAAACTTGGTCTCCTTTTTAAAGATAACAATAATAGCTTGTGCTTTTGCTTTCCCTATGAACAAATTATGGAGCTTATGACAATAGAATTGTGCAACTGAAATGTGCATTGTGAATACAGAAAAGAAGCATGTTTAATTTCATTTTCTCTGTTTTCAGTGACTACTTCTTTTTCTAGGTAAAAATAGGATTATTCCCATAACTTCAATTATTTTGTGTAGTTCTACTATATCTACTTCCTATACCAATACATCCTTCATTTTTATCTTTCTTTTTTTCAGATTCCCTGTGTGTCATGTTAATCACACTTCTTGGTATGTTCTTTCTCTTTCTTCAGAGAAGCCCTTTTTTTTAAATTCAGACTTGACCAGATAGCTGTATTTCAGATAACAGCTATAACATCAGCTTTTGTGCTGATGTTATTATATTCTAACACATTATTCAGGCTTCCTATTACAGTTTGACTTTTTGCACCTCCAGTGGAACATGAACAAAATCTTCACTGAGCTGTTGCTTTTGAAGTTTTGCTGTTGGTTTTGTTGTTTTTCTTACAGTTCATTTATATTCTTGATTTAATAACAGAAACAGTTGATGCTGAAATAGAGTATTAGTTTGATAGAAAAAAGCAAAATGCCCATAAGGGTAAGCTGGGTCTGTGATGGGGTGATAATTTCTTGCTGAGTATGTTATGAATATTGTTATGTGTTTCTACATAGAGAGTATATGTTGCAAAGCCATAAACAGAGAACCTCATTTGTATGTGGGAGTAAGGCAATTCTTTATGGATCTCTTTATGAAATTGAAGGCAATGAGAGTTAATTAAACTAGCCTGTTTGAAATGACAAAAAAATATTAAAAAGCAGACTTTGTTTGGCTGTCTGCCTACTAACTTGCACAAGGGCCACACACATGTACTTATTCACTACTGCTGAGCATTCTGTGATTCTTGAGAAACTTCACAAGATCCTTTAAAAAATCTTGTCTGCATTCTTGCATACTGTCATGTCCAGGATGTTTGAATTTAAGCAAACAGATAATCATAGATAATCTCACAATATTTCAGTTACCAATAGAACCAAACAGCAATTGCTGATTGATTTTTACTTTGATTTAATCTGGAACTGCTCTTGACCTTTACCTACTGTTTTGTTTTCTTAATCTTAATGTGCAAACTTTGTGCTATATTCAGATAATAAAATTACAAGATTGCAATACAAACACTTCTTAAAAATTCATCTTAAGTGACTGAAGTATCTTCAGGAAGAATACATTTTGAGCGTTTTTATTCACGCATAGTAAAACTGACATTACCTGTATTTTCAAAATTTAACAAACTGCCACAGATAGGAGTCCTGCTCAGATGTCTAAAAAAGGCACTGTGTAACATATTTATTCACTGAGCCACATGAAATGAGTTGTTTGCCAAGGGCTCACATCACTGATTGGACTTTTACTAGAGCACTTAACAACTAAAAGGTGCCCATTAAGGATGCTTGGGAAACAGCAAGAAGACATTTTCATGGAAGCTTGAGCTGTAATTGTTACTATGGTTAAGTGCTTTATTTCCAGTTATTTTAATCAAACCCTGTCCATACATGGTGACATTTACATGTTTAAAACTTCTCTTTTAAACCACATCTTGTTTTTGTCCTAAGCATTGCTAACTGTTCTATTTTAGGTTAAAGAGTGAATTGTGCAGAGAAGAACTGCACTGATGTTTAGTAGGTTTAAGTACGATAGTCAAACATGCGAAGTTAATTCTTACATATGTAGCAAAAGGACTTCAAGTGGAATTAAACAGAATTGTCACTTGATCTTGTTGGCAAAAGTTTTGTATATAGGTGTAACTGCAGTGAAGTTGTGATGAAGTACTGCTAATATAAGCTCAGATTTTAATCATTCTAGATGCAGAAATGCAACTACTACTAAAGCAAATACTACTATATCATAATTCAGTAGACGTGCTTTTTCTCTTACCTTTAAGACTCCTGTTTGCCTAGAAGCGAACATCCAGAACCAGAACCGAACCCTACAGACCCCAAGGCTAGCTGGGAAGAGTTTGGTGGTAATTATCCTTGCTCTGTTTCCTTCCTTCTGGGCAGACGAGTTTACATACAAAAAATGCTGTCCTTTACCTTAATAAAAAGATAAAAAACATTTATAGATTTTCAATACTACTTTATGCTTCAGAGCATAAGCATTTTTACAGACACAGATGCTGGTACCTTTTACCATGTACTCATATAACTTACCTTGATTGTACAGAGCTATTCTGTGTTAATACTTTGTGTACGTATGGTTTTTACAAACAATATTAAGATAACCTTCCTCAGAGGTCAGTCTGCCTTTTTCATCCTTCTGTAAATACTTGATCTATATTTGAATAACAAATTTAAAACCTGTTGCAAACACACTCATTGACCCACAGATTCTAAGGATCTGTTTGAATGTTGACATTGTAGGAGTCAGGAGCACCTTTGCTCATAGCTCTTACCCAGGAAAATTCTCTGTCATGCAGCATGGCAGTAGGGAACATATCGAAGCCCTGAGGCTTGATAATGGGCCAAGATATCCATGTCTTTTACTGTACAGCTGCTGCTGAAGAACCACAAGGTAGCATAAAAGACAATTCATTGTTCAGTTCCAAGCAGAAAAAGATGCCACCCTCTTACACCCCAAAAGGGACCTATCACACAAAATGAACACATACCACAAAAGGAAGTGGTTGAATAGGCAAATCAAGCTGCTGGCTTGTTCAGTTTTTTGTATTAACTAGTAGTGACCCATTTCTTTGTCATCCCTCTAATTCCATCTGCTATGGTAAAAGCAAGGTTTGGTCCTGCATGGAGAGAAGAGTGTGATGAAACCTGCTGCAGTGAAGATATTTTTCCCAAAGAGGAGGGCACCTATTGGGGCTGCCTTGAGTAGCAATACATAGAAGACCTTAGCAGACAACTTCCTCCTAAATCCAAAAGCAGCAACACCTGAAGATCAGAGCTGAGTTAGTAGTTGTTTTGGAGTAGTGGAACTACTCCAAAGAAAGAGTCAACCCTATTGCTCAATTCTTTTTCCTAATGTAAAAGGATGAATTCCCATTCATTAAAACCAGATCAAGCTTTTGTCTTTTTGTTCTAGTGCTTTCTTCAGTTTTCATTGGGAATGCAGTTCTGACATCTTTCCAGATTGATCTCCTTGTAACTTCACTGACAGAGTACTAGGTAAAGCACAGTGTGCTCTTTCTAATCTGGTATGGAAGTGATGCCTTAGCTGCAGCCAGAGTAGCTGTAGAATGGTTAACTACATCAAAGCAGCTTCTTCTGGGGGGAAAAAAAAACCCAAGACAAAAAACCAACCCAACCCAAATCTCATTCTTCTATCTCAAGACCGTAATCAGGCTCAAAAACAAAGGTTTAGCTTAACTTTGCAGTACTTTACAAGGCGAAGGCTTCAGAGTGACTGAGACTTTCATCAAGTTAGACAGGGGCTGGGAGGGGCTAGGAAGGTGTGTCAAGATGCAGGTAGCATATTTTATCTAAGGTCAGTTCACTCCTGTCTGAACCCCCTTCACTTTTGTAACTGTTGCTTGGTTTTTTAATCCTGGTAGGCTGAGGGTGGAGTTTAAGACCTACTTAAGAGGGGTGCAGCTGTCTGGATACATGCTGCTATTTGATGAGGGTCAAGGTCCTGTAGAGAGGAGGTGCAACAGTGTTACGGTAAGCATCAATGGATGAAATGAAGATGTGATCTTCATCCTTACCACCTGTCAACAGCCACTACATCTGTGTGGGCTGTAACTTTTAAGAAGGTATGATTGTAAAGGGATTGTAATGGTCTCAAGGCAGATGCACAGAAGAGATGTTCAATGAATTAATTGCTATTCTGGAAAGGAAAGAAATATTTGTAAATCAAACTGGATAGTGATGGACCCAACTTAATTGCTAAAATTTTGTTTTTCCCATATATTGAAAAATTATTAAAATAGTATAAGCATCCTATGCTAAGGCATGATTGCTAAGTTTTCTGGTAGACTGCTGAAAGTCGCCCAGGTCGCAGCCTCATTATAATACCTAGAAGGCAAATGATATCCTTCTCCTTTAGTACTTTTCCAGTACTAAAATCAATTTGTGTTAGAACAAATATAAGAATTTTTTTTTACAGCTGTAGTATCAATGAGAGATACAGTCTAGCAGTTCTTATTAGTAAGGTGGCAAATGCAGATTTTAAGAAAGCAAAACCAGAGAGCTGCTTATCGCTCTGTTACTTCTAGAGTCAGACCCACTTGAACTGGGGTGAAAATACCAAAAATTATTTCCCATCTCAAGTGAGCTGCAGTTATTTCTACCTAAAATTGATTGCAATTTTAGGCCTTTCACTCAGAAAATTAAGCTATGTAATGGGCTTTCAAAATGTTATCTGACACGCCATTCTTACAGACTTGCAAATGATCATTTGTTCAGAGTGAGAATTATTCAGCATGAATTTCAGTCAAAGGAAACCCAGAATTTGGTCTATTTGTAAATAGCAATGGCTATCAAGGAAATTATCTTAATTTCTCTTGCTGTCTTTGAAGCAATCTTATTTGAGATGATATTTTCAGGTGAGGTTATCTGTGTGTCATATAACACCTCAAGCTTTTTCAAGAAACAGAAGTTTTTCTCAGAGGAGAAGAAACTATTTGAAAGATTATAATGACATGGATATACTATATTCTTCATAAATAGAATGGTCCCATATGGTTGCATAGCGACCAGCAAACTGGAAGACCAAAGTGCCTGGCTCCTTGGTACATGATATAAGATGTATGGCAAAACGATATATGATATATAGCTAAAGGTAAAGAAGTTTGGGTTTCCATTTGGCTGAAGTTTTTGGGGTTGAAACGCTTGATCAGCTACATGCTCTGAATATTCATATAGCTCACGGATGCAGTGGCAAAATTTTGAAAGTGTGCTGGTTTTGAGCAAGAAATAATGATTTGGAAAGGAATATTTTTACATTTGAGACCTGTATAAGCTACACACTGCTTATCTTGCAGAATGTTAAACAGGTGAAACATAGTTACTATTTATCACTAAAAGTCTTTGTTTTCAAATCACAGGGATTATCTTCTCCCAGAGACTGTACCAATGCAATAAGTTAGTTTTGTTAAATTAATATTTGTATCCATCTGAAAGCTCTAATGTCAATTTAAGTTGTGCTAGATGGGCAATATAAAACACATTTAAACCAATACGAGATTCCTCTGCACGAAGTTGTGCTAATACACTTAATACAAAATTGGTATAATATCCCAGGCTTCATTATATTGCTATAATGGCATGCATGCTCTGTACAATGAATTTATATACTTAGTAACTAGAAGAAATGAGTTTGGAACAAGGAGGAATTGGATTTGGGTCAGGAGCGGGCTGTTAGATACTTCTGGACATTACAGATCATCAGTATCTAGGCTGTTGACAATTCTGACAAGTGATTTCTCTACAGCTAATGTGAATATTTCTTGCCCAGGTAATTTACAAGTAAGTTACATATCTGGGTAATTTTGCAAACACATTTGCTCTAATTTTGTTTTTCTTTTTCTTTGCTTTTTATTAACTTTGTTTTTCTTACAATTGCTGGGTGATTTCACAGAAGCAAAATAAAACAAATTAAATGCGAGAAACTGAAATAGAAAAGCGCACAAAATCTCCTTGAAGAGCCAAGGGCTACTGGTTGTTTTGTCATCACACTGCATCAAAGGAACAGCAAGAAAGCGAGTCAGACTACTGATTTGCAAGGAACAGCTTGCCTGGAACAGCTGCAATAGTTTCTACCTCTACCTGTCTGTTCTGTCCCTTTCCAAGAGGAATGGACTTCCACATTTACAGCCTGCAATAGCAACACAAACTAGTACGGGTGTCTGTTTTCTCTGAAATGAAAAACTGTGATTTGTGGCTGTTAAGCAGTTCCCTCATGATCAGGTGAGGAGTTCCTGCAGCATGTGCAGAATCCTCTAAAGGAAAAGGGAGGATAAACAAATAGGACAGTTACAGCCACCCACTGATAAGGTGTCTCTGTTGACTGGGGACACATAAAGCCCCCCAAAAGAGTAAAAACCTGGAGATCAAGCTGCTTACAAATTCAACAGAAAAACAGTAGAGATTGTGATACCTGTACATTGAATATTAACAATTTGCTGATTAGATGGAAATTAAAATAGGGTTTCTAACCATCAGAGCTTCTGGAAACGAAAGTTAAACACTTCTCAAATAGAGATTCATACATTTATGATGGAAATTAATATTCTATCCAGATTTTTTATATTATCTAATCTATGGAATATATTCTATATTTATATAATACAATATATAATTATAGCTTGTTGTCTACATAACACAGATAACTGTAATTGCCTATCAATAAATTTCATTCTCTTAATAATCAATAAGCACTCTGGTAGTAGTTTATCGACAACGTCTTGAAGGGGCATCTAGGGAAACAATTCTATATTACGATTTCTGTCAAGCCAATGTCAGGGAGGTAAGTTAAACCAAAGTCTTAGGTAGGAACCTTAAGCATTTTATGTGCATCCACACACACTGCTTGTCAGCCATTCTTGAAGGACCACAGCCATTCTTGAATGACCAGTGTATGATTGCACATTGAGCTCTGCCCTTCAGCCAGTTCTTCACCCAGCACACCGTGAACCCACTCATCCCACAGTTGGACAATTGTCCAGAAGGATGCTGTGAAGGACAGTATCAAAAGCCTTATTAAATCCAGACAAACTACATCCACCACCTTCCCTTCATCCACTGGGCCGGTGGCCTTATTATAGAAGGAGATCAAGTTAGTCAAACGGGACTTTCCCTTTGTGAACCCATGCTGACTGTGCCTGATGATTGCATACTCTTTAAAAGCCTTGCAATAGTACACAGTATGATCTTCTCCATAGTTTTCCTATGAACTGATGTTAGTCTAACAGGTCTGTAGCTCCCTGGGTCTTCTCTCACATCTTTTTTTGTAGATGGGAATAATGTCGGCTGGCTAGTCCAGTCAGCAGGGACCTCCCTAGACTCCCAAGACCTTTGTTAGATGACCAAGAGGTATCTTGCCATAACATCTGCTAGCTCCTTCCATACTCTGGGATGAATACGATCAGGCCTCATGGACTTATGAACATTCAGCTGATACAGCTGGTCCCTGACAATTTCAGCACCCACAAATGCCAAATCACTGTTCCCACACTCGTGGTCCTCTGACTCAGGGGACCAGGCAGCCCAAGGTCTATCCGTATTATTAAAGACTGAGGCAGAAACCGCATTGAGTGCTTCCATCATCTGTTCATCCCTATTAGTCAGATGACCATTTTCTACAAGTATCAGCCCAATGTTTTCTGTTCACACTGCAGTTACACTTACAGAAATGACAAGTATTAGGGCCTTCTATAAGGAATGAACAAAATACTAATAATTGGTGAGAAAATTGCAAAGCTGGTGACTGGGAGAGGGAAAGAAAACAACAGATTAAGCTGAGTTCTCAGAAAAAACATGACTTAGCTAGAGGTTAGCAACATGTCCTAACGTTGTTTTGTCCGGGTGCAAGCTGATATTGAAAACAGAAAGCTAACACTTTCACGGAGCTGCCTGTAAAAATGCTTACAAAGCAACAAGGTTTTCCAGAGATTGTCTATAGCACAGTCAGGGTCACTGGATGGTCTCGGTCAAGATGCTGCCTAATAGAAGCTCTACACATTGTGCTCAGGTGACCTGAGAGAAATGGGTGACTGGACTATTATTTGCATCTCTGTTTATCCAAAGGTTTTCAGACCTTCAGCAGTGTATGGATTCACTGTCACAACATTTCTGAGTAAGACCTGATGGAATGTCTTATGACCCATGATTATCACCAAATATATCCTCTTTTTATTGTATTAAAATTTCTGTATCTGTAGTTCTTTAAAAGTTTTCGAATTAATAAGATCATTGCAGACAGTTGCTGCATTTGTTCAGGCATGCTGTACTGTTTTAGAAAGAGGTCTGTTGTGTTCCAGATGTGATGATTAATTAGTATCTTCACATTATATTTAGCAGTTCATTGTCTAGGAAATTACTAAACAAATGCATCAAGCTGAAGTGGAGTATAAAGAATGATATAATCAGAACCACTCTGAAGAGAGCAATCTATAAAAATATAGTGCTGCTGAAGCAATGATTTAAAAGGTTGGTAATAGGCTACTATGCCAAGCTGTTTGGTTTTGTGTTCAGACAGAACTAGAAGTATAGACAGTATAAATGACGAGACTTAAGTTGATAAACATTTAATATACTTTTTGCATGACTTTTTTGTGATACATACCCTCTATTGTAATTTTAATATAAAAGTAAACATTTTAAATGCTTGTTGGAACTGCTTCGTGAACTGCGCTAATTGCTCACTATGACTTGTCTGCACAGCTGATCACACTGAGATTTGCAGTTATCTTGGCATTAATCTATAGAATTGTTTTTTTTAATTCAGTGAATATTTCATTTTCCCAAGAGTGATGTAGGACACTTGCCAATACCTGGTGTATGGTCAGTATCAGGACCCGTTTGTCCTATGACAGCGCTGTTGCTAATATCCCAGTCAAAATCATCACTAGGGTCTTGTGTTAATCCACATACAGTGGTCCATTCTTGATCTTGTGTTTCAAAGTTACAGCTTCCAGGAATACTTGTGTAATAACCTGAAAATATAGCAAGAATTAAATTATTATCCCAGTTCTTATATGTAAAAGGCTATAACGAACATACCGTACTTGGCAATGAGAAGGATTCTATTTGGCTAATGCTGTGATTCCCTGTGTTCCATGTGCTGACATAAACAATATGTGGTGGTTAGTGAGGAAAGAAAAAAAATCACCCTTTGCTTCCTAGGCAGTTTTAAACAAACTTAAACTTTATTACAGATATATGCCCATGTAAGTCTTGAGAAGAAAAAGATGACTTCACCAATTTTAGTTAACATTCAAGGTTAATGGACAGAATGATTCCCAATCAATGAGCCAGCATAACTGGACTCCACTTCCACAGTGATGTATTTCATGAATATATGTTGTCTCATCCTTGTGAATGTTATGCCTGAAGGCAGCTTTATGACAAGAAGGTTCTAGTTACTAGGACACTAACTGAATTCAGGAGAGCTTTGTTAAATCCCATTTCTAGATCCACTTCCGATGTTTCAGGTGACTTTGGAAAAGTAATTAATCCACAAAATTATACAAATGCTGTGTTAGAGATGATCAAATAGCATCACAAACTCTTCTTTGGCCTCTAAAGATTTTTTCCTTAGCTATAAAGCAGAGGCAGCTACACAACTGCTGAGTGAGAGCGAAGACTACCCCTGTGAGAGGACACTGGGAAAAGGTTCCAAACAATTAAATGTCACAGTCAGTCGTGTATTTCAGAAACGGGTCTGACTATGACTATTTCAGAACCATTTAGAGTGTGTTTCTCGATCTAGACGTATTCTGCAACATTAAAATAAAACTATTTCTGTATATTTTTCTAGGTATAAAAGACACAGATTAAAAAACAAATTACCTTTTAGTAATCCCTTTTGGGTTTTTTTCCTATATTCTACTTCGATACTACAGGCGCAACTGATACCATTCTTTGTAAAAATACCTCATCATTATCATAAACCTGTTTTGTGTAACCAAGACTGCACACACACTGTAACCTTGTTGACTAGCTTTCCTGTAAAAGCATGTAACCTTAGTTAAATATCTAAGACAAATCTCTTAAAAGAAGAACAATTTTGATCCAGCGAATAACCTATACCCCACTGAATGCTAGGAGAAGGATCTCTACTGTTCTGGAATGTCCTGTACTCTTATTGTACTGCAAGGGACTGAAGCGTCTCTCATGAGAAGAGGCTGAGAGAGCTGGGACTGTTCAGCCTGGAGAAGAGAATGTTCAGTGGGATTTCATCAGTGTGTATAAATACTTGCTGGGAGGGTGTAAAGAAGACAAAGCCAGATTCTTCTCAGTGGTGTCCAGCGTCAGGACAAGAGGCAATGGGCACAAATACAGGAAGCACTTTTGAAGGTTAAGAAAAAGCTTTTGTTTTTTTACTATCAGGCTGGTCAAACACTGGCACAGGTTGCCCAGAGAAGTTGTGAAGTCTCCATTCTTGGAGATATTCAAAACCTGACCGGCATAGCTCTGGGTAACCTGTTGCAGTGAACCCTGTTTTGAGCAGGAGGCTGGAACAGATGTCCTCCAAAGGTGCTTCCCACATCAACGGTTCTGTGCTTGTGTTAGTGTTATTCACAGCATGACCTTTGGGAATCATGAAAGGAATACAAAAATGCACCAAGCATCCACACTGACACTGCATTACAAGCATTATGTAAGCTTAATAAATCTTAACTCCAACACCAAACACCCTCACACACAGGTAGGGCAAAGAAGGGAATTCATTAATTGAAGCAAGTACAATTTTCTTGTACAGTTCTAACAAGATCAAAGTCCAAATGCATTTAGTATTTATACCGTTCATAATAGATTACCTGGCTTCAGGAATTTTACCCTAATATCTTAACAGTGTGTTCAGAAGGCAATTATTAATAAATATTTATGAACAGTATTTACAAGGTTGACTGAGTCACCCAACATGTCTGCACTTGCTGGGTACTTCATATTTTATGGGTGAAAAGAGTCTGTGTAGAAGCCATCAGGATTGTTCTATTTATCTGAAAAATTACTTTTATTTCAATAATTCAAGCACTCCTCTAGCTGGTTCATCATCACTGAGGTTTACTATTAATCAAATCTGCATGTATAATTGGCTGCAATTCATGAAAACTCAAACTGCTTTCATGTGTGCTTTTTTCACCTCAGTACTTCCAGCAGTTTACTGAAGAGAATGAAAATTTTGCAAGATTGCCTGACTGGACTGAATGAAGCATACAGTAAGTAATTTCTGTGAGTTTATTTAAAAAAAAAAAAAAGGGTCCACCAGCCTATGTGGATACAATTAATTTCATCCAGTTCTGTTGCAAATCCTGCACAGAGGAATTGCTGCCAAGTAGATGATGGTCCATTTACTTCTTGGGAGTTACACTGCTATAAAACTATAATAGAATGTGAAATAAGCTCAGACCTTGAGCTCAGAGAAATGGAGAAAATTGCAGACAAATGTGGCTGTAACCACTTGTGATGGGGCAGGTTAGACCGTGAAAGGCTTTCTCTGTGCCTGTTCTGCTTTCTTTTCTGATTAAGCAGCTCCTGTTGCCTTTTCATTAAAAAAACAGTTTTCTGTATCTAGAAGGTATTATGTGCCCATTAATGTTGTTCATTCCCATCTATAAGATATATGCTCAGGGAAAAGGCCTCATTTGTTGGCATCAAGATGTATCAGATATGGAAATATTATATCTGAGGCTTATCTGGGTATTCTGTATGCCAGATTACAGTATCTCTCCTCTATTGTTAACTTCATATTTTGTCAGTTCTGCAGCAACAGCAAGACTAAAGACTGAGTAAAACATTTTGATGTAACTACAGCCTTTCCACCTACAATAAAAGGATATTTCACCCTATTTATTGAAAGTGAATATCAGTAATTTTTTTTTCTTCCCTTGTAAAAGCATTTCTGCAGTATAGCATAGCCTGTGTTGCTTTACTGTGGTTCAAGATCATTTATGGCCTGAAATGTTTCCATCTATTACCTGACTAAGAAAAAAGACTTGATGCTATCAGAGCCCTTCCAGTCAACACAGCACACACACCCCCACCCCATGAAGCTACTGTATCCTGTAACAATATTTACAGAATAAATGAAGTGCCTTAGTAATTTTCTGAATATGTTTACAGAGCACTTTATGTTGCACAGTAATTCAGACTTACTGTGTTTCTGTTAGGTCTGTAAAATGTTACAAGGGTGAGTTTACAGAATATTTTGCTGCACTTACTTTGTCTAACTCCTAAAAAAATAGGAATATTTTATATAAGAAATACAGATTATCTGTTTAAAATGTATCTTTTCATGGAATCTACTTGAAAAAAAGCTAGTCTTTTAAAGGTAGTGTTCAACGTAGATTCATTTCCCTGAATATGACTCACAAAATTCACTGTAACGCAGAGCACTGCAGGAGGTAGAAGCCACAAACAGAGACACCAGATTCAGCGTATGTACTTCAGAACTGTTATTTACTTTTATGAAAAAAATAAAGAGGGAGAAGCTCCAAGTTAAGTATTCTATAGTGACATCTTCATGTGTATTCTAGGTTGTAAGTCTGCTGTCCGGCTAAAATGATATAATTTACATCACCCAATAAAGGGTCATTATTTTTGTAACCCTGTCCAGCTAAAGCATTTAGCAACCCTATGCAAGAGAAAATGCTTTTGATTTTCAAGGGACCACCAAGCATTGGGTAATTTCACTGGAGGACTTGGATTTCATCAGAATGCAAGCATTGAATTGATACGTGCGATGCATTTAATATATCCACCAAGGTTGGTTTTGATCATAACTGTGTTACGGCAGAATTTGGCCCTCCATCTCAAAGATTAAGAATTAGACTGATCACTGAACTGTATATACGGACTGCTTAAGCTTCCTACTCCAAAAGTCTGGTCTGGACAGTGACTGTAAATAAACAAAGACACGGAGCTGGTGGGTTGGTTTGTTTGTTTGTTTGTTTTGGGTTTTTTTTATATTTAATCTTTGGTTTAAGTAAATTACACTTTTGTAACTAAATTATGCTTAACTACTTTTTGCAGCAAATGTTTTCGAGGATCTGAAAATGTCAGACCTTCTGTGTTGAGGAGCATGCAACCTGCTAGTAATTATCTTCTGACTAGCTATGTGAATTCACCTAAGCTGTGCTACAGAATTTAAAGTTATAATTTTAACTGGAGATTACATTAATACACAAAGAGATACTTACTGCAGTCAGCTTCATCTGATAGGTCTTCACAGTCTGGTTTGTAGTCGCAGACGAAACGAGACTCTATGCAATTCTCATTCTCACACAGGAAATCAGTGAGGGCAGGACATTCCTTGGGATTCTCTCCAACTAAAACCAACAGCACATTTAAATCAATGTTGTAATTAAATCAAAGGATGCTCTTTTTTATTTGTTTAGCTATTATACACCATGGCTTCAGTGATTTACTGCTTCCAGCTGAATTTTTTGGTCTCATTCTTTTAATGGTGCATTACACGTGTCTAGACTATTGTATTGGTCTGGCCCAAAGTTTCCAAGGTAGGAAGTTCTGCCTGGAAGAAAATTCAGTTCAGCACCAACACGACTGTTTCCCCAGTATATCTGTTGTTCACATTCCATAAAAAAAGGTTCCATGACCTATTGGAAAGTAGACAGGCTAAAGGCTCTATTCTGCTCATAATTACAGGACATCATTTAGAAAATAAGAATATTTTAAACTGAGAAAATCACTGTTATACAACATTTGTGTAATGCATAAGCTTTTAAAGCCTTTATAAGACATTTAACTTCTTTTTAAGAGCTTAGAGAAACTTCTGCTCTGAGTGTGTAAACCTCCCAGAAACCCCTTGTATGGTATTTAATATGAGGATCTGGTTTACAACAACTATTTTTGATCATCTCTGAAAATGAGTGCAAACTGTGTCACAAAACGAGAGTAACTTAGTAACTTGCACATAAAACACTAGGGCCAAACATGAGATTCAGCCATTTCTGAACTGTCAGATGATTAAAGAAACTTACAGAAATTGTTTTTTACTTCAGTGCACCGAGTGCATGATTTCAAGTCACAGTAATTGAAACAGTTCTGATAATCCCAAATGCAATATTTAAGATGCACTGTCAACCTAAGAATGTTTTGCAGTTTAGAGCTCTAGTGGTGCATAGCATAGTCAAATTAAATATTCTAAAATCTTATTCAGAATTGTGGTGTTAAAAATCAGCTTTCCAGAGTACACACTCATTCTGACCAAAAATCTTACACCAGGATAAAAACTGAATCAAAACAAAGTGTGTTTTAACTATGAAATACAACTTCAGCATCAACAACCCCAACAATCAAACAAAGGTTCACACAGAAGTTGCAACTTAGAAGATTCATTTTTTACCAAACATTCTTAAATAGAACATAGAAATTCTCTTTAATCAGAAAAATGTATTAAAGAATATGTTCTCAATTCTAAGGGTTGACCTGCAATTTAACAACTACAAAAAAAAGTTAGAAACCACTTTGAACAAAGAAAAAGAAAGGACATTCAAAATATTATCTTGCTTATTTCTTATTTTTTCATCAAAATTACAGGTTTGCCAAAATCTGACTTTGAGTCAATCAGTACTGAATTTGGAGAAGACTGTTTCCAAGAACAGTGTTCAAACTTCCCTCTAGGGAGTTTCAGTATAGAGTAAAACAATGTCTCCTAATGAGCAGCCTAAGAAGTGTTTAAAGCTGGCATTTCAGGTAAAATGAGAAATTTTCATTACGTATTATTTCATTACACATGTTGATTATGTGGGACAGTACGTAAAAATATATAGGTTTTTGCCTGATTGTACTCCTCAGTGGTACTCTCGTCACCAGTAAGTAGAAAGATACCATGATGGTTGATTTTATACAGCACGTAGTATTATATATATTTTTTGTTCCCCTCACCCATTCACAACATTCCACGAAAATCCAAACATACAGAAAAAATATTCTAAGCAGAAAACACGTGAGAAAATACGGCAAATTTTCTTTCTCGCCTCTTTCTTCTAACAACAGATCAAGAATCCTATAAGGAAAAAAATTAACATACTGTTGAATACACTCCAAATAAATTAGGACAAAAATTTCAATTAAAAAAAAATAATCAGTTGTACTTTGCTCACTGAGTTACTCTGAAGGTATCTGTGAGAAGTTACAACATTAAAATGGATCGTGAGCCACAGTAAGCAAAAGAATGAGCCCATGTATGAAAATGTCAGCGGTGGAAAACTGAAATATTCGATACACCAATGTGGATTTGTCACACAACGGGAATGAGAGGAATCATAGGGAATTGAAATGTTTTCCATAAGTACTAAGCTTATTTCTGAGTATGTTATGAAAAATTGGCAGAGAGCTAAGATATCCAAAACCAAAAGAAAACATTTCATTTTAATTTAAGAAAACTGTTGCCCAGAAAGAAACTTGCACTTAATGAAAAGGCCATAGATATTCTTTTTTTTCCCCTAACCTTCTAAATCTTTGGTTTAGCCACTAAACTGAACAATCCATTGTTTGCTCAGTTCTACATATAATCTTACATCATGGAAAATACTCATAACATATATGGAGTGTTAGTCTACAGGTGCGACATGAATGATAAAGGAACGGCATAGAGCTATAAAAATTGGGGAAGCCATAAAAATTGGGGGTGTGGTTTGTGGTTTGTTTTTTTTTTTTTTAAGTCAGAACAGAAGCTCCAACAATATTTATTAATTTCCAGCGATCTTACAAATTTCTTGGGCAAGTTACTTTTGTTTTTCATAGTGCTTTTCTCTCTCTTCCTCTGCAATTATTCAGTCCATAAATTTGTGGGGTCTGAAGACTATACAGATGTGCTGCAAGTCAAAAGACCACAATCCATTCCTTTCCCACAAAAAGAGAATACAGGCATCAAAAATGCACTCCAAACCAAACCAAAATAATATAGAATATAACACACACAAACACAGAGACGAATTTCATATCTTATGATAACAACTGAGTTTCAAGTCAGTGTAGGAATAACAAGATTAACAGGAATCAGTGAAGCAATTAAATCATCGATTTTCTCCTAGATCAAAGTTGATGGGCCACAGCACATATCCTTGTAAACCACCTTTTTTTCCCTTAGAGAAAATACTTGGGGATTAGATTCTCATAAATTTAAAAAAAAATTAAAACCGTTATTATGACATAGCAAAATGCTAATGGTTTGTCATATCCGTTTATTTGGTTTCCTCTTGGAATTGCAGCATTTCCTGAAAACCAGACACCACAAGAAACTAGCACAGGGCATATTTTAGATGAAGTAGTAACTACTGACTATGAGTTACGCAAATCTCTATGTCAAATTAAATGGCAGTACTTGAAAAGGAAAAAGCATACACAGGCTATTGTTTTTCAGTTAAGTACAATTTGGATTGATGGAGCAAAGAGCCATAGAGTCTTCTAAGTAGGTTTTAAGAGCCCAATAGAACTGGCTTGGCTTTTGGATCACTAAACCCTATAAGAGCAGCATGTTAATGACAGTTGTCATAGAACATACATTTACATACACTCATTTTCATTTCTACATATTTTTTTCTGCACAATGAAATTCTTAGAATACCATCAAAGATAAGACTTTCTCTAGCAAGAATACGTGGGTGTTTGTGTATACATAGAAAACAAGCAAGACACAAATGCATGTTGTGTATACCACAAACTGAGATTCTACTGTGGCTACATCACAAGCTATATATGTATATCCATCTCCAGTACATGTTATCTATGGAAGACTAGCCCGTATGGTACTCACAGAATTTATATACATGACAAGAGTTATTTGAAGATAGCTGATAAATACAACACTATTAACGCAGACATGTTGTTTCAGCTGCCAGGAGAAGACTGGCTACGGAAGAACTCATGAAAATGGTTTTCTTTCCTTTAAGTTTGCTACTACAGGACAGCACTGGGTCAGTGACTGTTTCTCTGACTCTGTGAGTATAAGAACTTTCTTTTACCAATACTTTGTAAGATGAAAATATTCCTGTGATATCAATTACATCTAAAATCATGGAAAGAACCAGACAGGCCAAATGTCAGCTCTATAAGATATAGATGTTGAGTGTCTGAAACAAAATGGACAACTGCAAAAATTTTTTTAGTTTGATAGATACCAGTAAGTTTCATAGATTGGGTACTAAGTTGATACAATGAATGTTCTCCTGTTTAAAATATTTATCATCAAAACACTGATTGATCACGTAGCCAAAAAGAAGAGATGCTCTTGCCATGTTAGACTTACAGAAGCTGTTAGAGGTTATGTTTGGCCAGTGCTGTGTGCCTGTGAAAGGCATAGGGTGAATCCCAAGTTATTATGGTTGCTAAAGGCTGCAGTGAACAAGACCTTGAGCTGTTTTGAAAAGCAACATGTAACTCAAGGTCAAGTACACTGAGCTGCTGTTTACCATGAGTCTCCTCTGCAATCCAAGAGGAATGCATGTACTTCACTGAATATTACACCACCACCATGTCAACAGTATGAAATGAAACATGCAATGTATATTCAAGCAAATGAGACTTTTTCCCCCCCTATTTCTCTTTCTAGAAATTAAGTTCCTTTCTGAGTAGAAATGTTTTCAAATTACAGTTGAAAATTCACCTCTTTCTATTATTTGAGTTTAAATTGTGTTGTGTAGTGAGGGTATTTATACCACTTCCCTTCTCTCTTCCATAATACTTAAGATATACGAATAATCAAAGATAAAGTAATTAAAAATATTTTGAGGAAAATATATTCAGTGAAAGAAACTTTATTTTCCAAGTGTCACCATTTGTTTAAATTAAAATGTATGAAATACAAGCTCCTTGAAGGTTTTGTTAGAACTGGAACTCAACTGTACTCTACTCTGAAGTTCAGAAATTATGAAACACAGTTTGCATCAAGGTTCAGATTTGCTCACCCCCATTGTTCAGTACTACATGACTTTTTATAGAACATTAAAACTCTATTAGTAAACTCATCAATAATGTTTCTGTCCATGGATGACCTTGGCAATTTTTTGCAGGGGAAACTAGACGAAAAGTTTCTACTCATGTAAGCTAGACATACTTTCAAATAAGCCTCTTCTGAAATTCAAAAACCATAAGGAATTCTCCTCATAGAACGTGTCATTTAAAAGACCAGATTTAATTAAAAGATATACATTGGCTCTGACATAAACAGCAGATCTAACAAATTATATTGACTTTTAGGAAAGAATTTCACATGTAGATACGAAAGTCTGCCAATAGACTTCCTAAAGATGCTCAAAGCAAGTAGTATTATGGTGCCTGAGGCCACCAAATAAACTGGAAGAAA